CTCTTCCGCCTTATATCTCAAACAGTTTTATTCTTAACGAGGATGGCATCTCTTTTGTTGTCTTCTCTTTTTTTTGCATAAGTATAATTTTATCATTTTAATAAAACTATCAGTCGAAATACAGGGTGATTATGAAGGAAGTTTAGCATTTCAACGCCACATATCACACAAACAGTATTTAATAGGAAGGTGAAATTACACAGGGATATTAAAGGTACCACGCGGATACAAATGCCACAGTTGTCACAAGATTCTTTCAGGGTCGCCGGTATTAACCTAATGTCTGAACAATAATACCATCTATTCAAAATGAGCTCATCCAGCGTCCAGAAGGCATTGTATTCGTGTGACGACATCGCATTTCTCATCTGCCCCCCCCCCCCCGGGGGGTTCTTTTAGACCGGGAGGTAATGTTAGACAATAGTTCAACAGAGTGGCGGCGCCACATGGTGGATAGTTCCTAGAGTGTGGTGAGGCCTTCTTTGTGGATCGGCGCGGGCTAATGTTACGTAGGTCGTTTGCTAGCCACCAGAGGGTGTTGTTGTTGTTAGTTTTTACATTATAATTAAGATCAATTTTATAGTTTCGTCTTGATAACAATAATAAACAGAGTATTTTTCAATACGTAAAATTAATATTTTATATTTTACAGTTTGAAAACTTCTGTAGCATATTTCACGAATATTCATATGCTAGTTCAACTTATAGTCTATGTAGAGGCTTGTTTTCTGTATTAACATAATTCAAACTAGATATACACTGTATCCATTTCATTACGAAATAATAAGAAAACACTATTTATTCTCTACGTTTCGTAACACGATATTAGTTTCTACATTATAGCTTCCTTTTAATAACAATAATAGCGTATTTAATGAATATTCATATATTAGTATAACTCACAATCTATGTGGAAGACTTTTTCTGTGTTAACTCAAAACATTTAAATTCCACACATTCATCACATGCATCGTATTCATATACGTAAACTAATTTAACGTAAAATGTACGTAAACCTGAAACGGATTGTGTCGTGTCTACATTGTATGTAAAATGTCCAAACTGTAGATATTTTCGTCTCAATTATATGAACTAAATGTAATGCAACATGTCTTAACAGAAAAATAGACAGTATGAGCGTATTAAATTGATCATACTGTACGTAAAAATTCACATTTCAATTACGACAGTTAAACTATTTATATTGCGAGCTTTATGCTTATACGTATATTGGTCTAAGAAGAAAATACAAAAATAAACTCAATGATAAAATAAAAATTCAATGACTAAATTGAGTAACAATGCACCTTTTTTGTAGTCTTTAGAAACTGGTCTGAGATTAATATAATAAATATTTTTGGCCATTTGAGTAATGTCTTTCACAAGAAAATACCTAAAATTTCTACCATCAC